GGAGTGTATCCCGGGAGGACTTTTACCATAAAAGTCCTCCCGGGAGGATCGCTCTTTAGGTGTTAGACACGTGAAGAAAACCGGAAAATTCCACATAGCCAGTTCGTTATGAGACGCTAATATGCTATCAACTACCAGTGTTCAGTGGTTTTATCTATTAGCCATTGGAGAGCGCAGGAAATTCGGACAATGTAATTTGGAAACTGTACAGTATATCTATCTCATAAAAGCAATTTTTTATAAGTCAAACCTATGAACAAAGACCCCTGACATAAACATATAAACTGACCGTCGTTTAGAGGTAACCGTTATTGGAGGTTCGACTGTATTACACTAGAATATTACGATAATTAATTTTTTTCAGTAAGATTTTAGTTAAAAAAAAACGCGATTTCACATTATGAATACAAAATTCTTAGCAATTTCAATTTCGTAAATTCCAGTTTCTTAATTATGTCGAATATTTTTTAAAAAACCATTAGAAATTCGTGATCTAAGACCTTTAAATTTTTCATAATTCATAAGATCAAGTAACTTGGTATGGTAATATTAATTAAAGCACGAATATTTTATACATATTTAATGAATTTCATTGTTTTATCATTACAGTAGAGCGTCGATTTTCCGAATCAATTGGGGACTGGGGTTGTTCGTATAACTGATATTTCGGATAACCGATTTATGTACGAAAAAATAGTTAACGTATCCGATGTTGAAATTTTTCTCCGTTGCGTGTCGCTTGCATTGAATTTTCGTCAATGTTAAGCCTAACAAAGACTATTGTATCGTTAAAAATTATTTTTTTATTTTGTACAAATAAAATAAATATATTGAAAAATATAAAAAGAATAAAAAATTATACTTCAGATGTTAATTTAGTATCAAAAATGTAAAATATTTGAGTAGCCCAAGACATAGCCAAAGATTGAAGCGCCACAGCACTAGCGAAAATTTAAATTTTCCGACTGGAATTCTTTCGGATGATTGACTTTCGGAAAATCGACGCTCTACTGTATTTTAACATAAATTAAAGTTATATGCCTCATAAAAAGAATTTGCGATTTTTTAAACTCTTTTATTTGAACTGACCTCGTTGGAAACACAAAAAAGCCACACACATCGATATAAATTAGGATTAAAAAATAGTATTCGAAATCTAAAAACTGTCTACAATTTTCAGAAAATTTGCTCTATAAGTGTTAAAATTAATAATTAATATGTGAATAAACTCCCACACGTTGATTTTGAATCGAATTATTAGATTACTCCCCCCGTTCTGTTCATGATGAAGTACAAATTATAATTTGTTTATATTTATAAAAATATGATAAATTCTTATATAGGTTATTCAATGAGTAAAAACTAATCCTTATGTAGGTTAATTAAAAGTAGAGCATATATAGATGAAAGTTCTAAAAATATTATTGTTTTTACAGAAAAATTAAGAGAATAAATTGAGGATTAATAATAGAAATTAAAAAAAATGAAAGGAATAATTAGGCCAACTTTTTTTTGTAATTTATTGATTCATCCAATGTTAAATTTAGTGTTGTTAGCATTAAGTGGATGTAAACTCACATTTATTTGTTTTATTGTAATAATATTAACAATAAAATAATGCATAACATTATTTCTATCATTTAAATGTTAATTAATGTAACCATGTAACTAAATATCACAGAAGAAAAATGATATTCTGTATTCATATCCATATACCATAGCAGATGAGTATCAAGGGGGTGCTTATAACGTTGAAGTACCTCCTTGATACCAAAGCAATCAGTTTTGTTACTTTAAAATAAAAATAAATATAATAACGCATACCACATGATTTCAACTAGGCAAAATTACGCAACTAAATTATAAGGTAACTTTTTCTATAAAAAAGACAAAGGGCGCGTGCTTGGTCTCCAGAAACTACATTAATTATAACATGAAATTTTGTTTTGTCTGACCTTTTCATTTCTACTACAATTTTAAAAAAAAATTAAATAATAGCTGTTTATATTGTGTAAACTCTTTCGTTATTCGTATAAAAGTTATTTTTAAAAAACCTGGAACCTAGAAACCTGATTATATTTTCTCGAAAATAATTGATTTAATGACTTATCGTTATATGACATTTTATGTATTTTGATATAATTATTCTTTACTATTGTTAGATCTGAGCTACGTAGGCTATATCTGTAGAATAAGTTTAACTACTGATTAATAACAGAACAATTGCAATCGTCATAGTTACGGTTTACACTGTGAGAAAGGTTTGACAATCCTAGTTCTGGTTTTAAATAAATGAAGCCAAGGTCATTTTAAATATAGGTTTACAGTATCAAAGAAAGAAAATAAAAAGTATTCTTTACAATACTAGCTATATATGAACACTTTAAATGCACCTGCACCTATCATGTGAGCACACTACTACTTTAACAGACTTGATTTTTTACTCATTTCCATTTCATCCCGTGGGCACTAAAAAAACTTTTTATGAAGCCCATCGTGGGTTCGGCCAGGTCACAATGGGGCGGCCGGGTGGTGAGAGACGGGATACAGCATATCCGGTGTACCACTCCCCGAAAAATTCCTAGATTTTTTTGACCCAACAGGATTCATTCTGTGGTCCTCCAGAGCAATAGGCTGACAGTTTAATCTATCATTTTTCAAGCTTTTCCTAATATTGACACCCCATTTTTGTAATAATTTCTTGCGGCACTCCTACTTCTTTATCAAAGTAGAATTATTGCGCTTTTCGTATTTTTAGTAATACACGTAAGAAGTGTTACTGCACTGCTCAGCATTTTACAGTATTTCGTGGCACCCCTGAAGTATTATTGTGGCACCCTAGTGTGGAGCGGCACCCCGGGTGAAATCCACAACCTTAATCGCTCAGTCATCCGGCCGTCTGAAGAGATATAGGTCTTTTTTGTGTAAAATAGTAGTTCTCAACTGCCTTAAAACCAGCGCATCCTTTACTGTTCTGAGAATAGAACTGATATGTAATATAATATAACTAAGCGCATGAATTCATGAAAATAATAGAAGATTGCAATTTTTTAAAATTATTTTTCATTTTCTTTACAAAGAAGATAAGCAGGAAGCCAAATTAATGAGGCAGTCTTACCCGACATCAATATGCTATCATTAAATTTCACTTTTTATGTATTATTATAAATTTGATAATCGCTTCTAGGATACTATCTCTAACGTTGTGTTGTGCAATAGCTTAACCATTGTACAACACAACGCAATAATGAACAAGACCTATGGTCTCCGATTGTTGCGATAATTCTAAACTCCCCTCACATTTCAACGATATAAATATATTTTATATTATGAAATAATTTGAAATATATTTTTCGTTATAATAATACTTTATAGTTTTGAAATATTGACAAATTGACTATTTTTCTATCTGGATAAGAGTTTAAACATTTATAATGACCAGTCGGTTAAGTATCGTATCAGCCTATCCTTGGGAACCTGAGATCGAATCTGAACGGGTCGATAAACCCCAGAAATTTTCCGGTTCGTCTATATCGGACCCCATTCTTTATCATTCGGCCACCAAATTGCGGGCCTACCCGAACCCATAATGGGCTTTCTAAAAAGGCCCTCTTAATGCCTACAGGTGAAATTAAAAAAAAAAAAAACTCTGGGAAACCCGGAATTAAAACCTGGTGATCCAACTTCTAGAATTTTCAAGAGTAATTCCTTGAAAATTTCCAGGAATAATTAGTCCCGGGTACGTCGGGCCCTGCCCATCATCAGCCGATCGCCCTCATGTTGGTCTGGCCGAACTTACACAACAGGTATAGGAAAAAGAAGTTCTCTTAGTATCCACAGGACGGGGGAAAAAAGTGAAAAAACTAGTTTAAAGCATTTGTTATTTTATTTATTTATTTATTTATTTTTGCACAAGAACTAATTCCACTTCGAAGTTTAAATAATCACATGATTATTCAATTTTTAATTTGGTATAATGACTAATTCGGAATGGAAAAATATTTCAAAAACTGTTGCTCAATAGGAGGATAATAATAACTAACCATTGACTTATAAGCATCTAATCTCTCCGATTATTATTATTATTTTCGTTAAACTACAATGCATAACATAAAAATTAAAAAATACTTTATATTATAGGTCTACTACAAAGTTAAATATTAAAGTAATTGAAAAGTAAATTATGCAATATTTCGAGATTTAGTCAAGCAATATATTATTGTACAGTGCATATGATACNCCTTATTTATCAATACTTTGAAGTGTTTTAAAAGTCAATTATAGCTATGAATAAATAAAACACTGTATCTGTATAATGTAAGTATTTGCGTTTTATTCTTGTAAGTTAAGTATAGTATTCGTCAGGACAAGAATGGAACCTGTGTGCTGGATTTCGAATGGACATCACTCCCCGCAGTAGCTGAGAACAGAATAAAGACTTCGACAATCACGTCATATTGAGATTATAAAATTAAATTTTAAAAAGTCGCACGACGTTTATTACTTTTATATTAAATTTTCTTATAAAAATATCGGAAATTTCAAATAGATTATAACAGTTAAAACATATCTTATAATTCTCTCATATATTATGCGTGGATAACGATTTTTCTTCGCGAATATAGAATAATAAATTCCTTCGCGATTGTAGAATAATAAACATCGACTCTATTCTTATTTTAAGACTATAGTTCCTATCTATAGTACAATACATCGACATACACATAGCAACAAATAATGTATATCATGGTATCTATACATGATTTCAACTAGGCAAAATTACGCAACTAAATTATAAGGTAACTTTTTCTATAAAAAAGACAAAGGGCGCGTGCTTGGTCTCCAGAAACTACATTAATTATAACATGAAATTTTGTTTTGTCTGACCTTTTCATTTCTACTACAATTTTAAAAANAATATAGAATAATAAATTCCTTCGCGAATGTAGAATAATAAACATCGACTCTATTCTTATTTTAAGACTATAGTTCCTATCTATAGTACAATACATCGACATACACATAGCAACAAATAATGTATATCATGGTATCTATGACAAATATTATACAACAATGGCTAAAGTGCCGCTTGCGAGTGAGGACGATGCAACATATATGTCCATTCACAAAAAAATACATATATAACATCTCTACATCCCTTGAGAAATGATAATATACTATGCCAGATTGGATAAATCACATTACATCAACGTCCATGCAGTATATAAAATTAATCTGATTAACAACAATTAGAATGTGGCATTGTCGTAACACTTAACATTTTTCACAGTATTATGTCCGGTTGTCACATCATCGCTCCTGTGCCTTTTGTCGATAATTTCTGAAATTTTGCAAGAAGGTTTATGTATTAGCGGGATTAATGCTATTAAATTTTAGTGGTTAAAGGTCGACAAGTAGGCGATAAAAAGGAGTCGTGTGTCTTATCTTGAGTAGGATCGGATTTAATGACAGTTTTACACGTTATTAGCATTTACAATTTTTATATAGTCTATATATAAAACTCATCCCTACCCTCAAAATTAAACTTTTTGTCATTTTATAATAATTAAAAGTATAAAAAAGTTTTTAAAATAAAATATCGTAACAGATGGTGCCACAGTGTTATGCAGTTTTAAATGTTGCGGAAAAGTTAAGCAATTCATTGTTGGCTTTTTCTAATTTCGATACGCTAATTGTTTTCTCATTATTATAGTAGAGAGTGAAGATAATCAGACAACTTTCAAATAATTGTATATTCTCAAATATAGAAAAAATTTAAGAAACACTAAACCCCACCAGTAGCCAAGAGGATAAAACCACTGAACACTGATAGTTGGTGCTCACAACGAGCTGGCCATATGGAGTTTATCACGTAGTCAGCTAGTTGTGAGGAGCTGGTTTATTCACGTTTTTTAATGCGCTTTTCGTACTTTTAGTAATATAAGAAGTGTTCAAGGCCCGGGGATAGAGCAGACCCCTTCTGCCATTTTTTTCTTCAACAAATGAAATATGTGCTTAATAATAAAGAAAAACATAACAAAGCTAATATAAATTAATGTTGTAATTTTAGAATGCATTGGAAAAAAATCTAGCAACGAGTTGTGTAACTTTCCCGGCTTTTATGAGATTTATTTTAAATATAACATTTGTTTTAGTAATGAAAATAAATAACTAAATTGTATGTGGCGCATCTATTATGAGATTTTGTTATAAAAACTTTATATTTTTTTAATTATTATAAAATAGCAAAAGACTTAATTTTGAGGGTCGAGATATGGTTTATAAAACACTATGAATGATAACAACAAGTAAAACTTCATTAAGTCTGACCACTCACGAGATATATCACGTGACCCCTCTATCACTCCATCCCCAGGACATTTCACCGCCAAAATTTAATGCCCCTTATATACAAGCTACCGGCCAAATTTAGTTTCTTTATCTTCACCCGGTCCTGAGATATTAAGCGAAATAGACGCCAACACATACACACACACACATATCCGCGGAATTCCTTTTTTTTTTCTACTTTTTTCGGTTCTGTGGGTCTCATAACGTGGAGATTTTAAAAATCTCGGAGGGTCAAATTTACACGATTCCAATACTTTCCTTTGCTATGTATACATAACAGCCGGAAAAGTAAAAGGAAATTCTATAAAGGAATTCAATTCATATCTATATAATTTCTATAGGATTATAGGATTGATTGCATAAATCAACGCAACACATGGGAAAGGAAGAAATTTTCCAAGGGAAAATGGCGCGTATTTAGATGTTAGACACGTGAATAAAACCCAGAAAACTTCATGTGGCCAGCTCGTTGGTTAGGCACGAACCTGCGACTAACTACCACCAGTGTGCAGTGGTTTTATTCACTCCACCATAGGTGGACTAATAGGATAATTTTTATAGTATGAAATCTCTAAATAATATAGTTTATAGTATGTAATAAAATTCAATATTGAATATCGAATAATATTTAATGTGATTGAAATTTAATGAAAAAGGCTAGAAGCCTTTTTATCAAAGAACAATCACAATTTGTTAAAGGAAAAAAGACTCCTTAATTAAACAAAACCATAATAAATCTATTTCAATAATATAAGAATAAGAAACTATTGCTAAACTATAAATAAATTTTCATACTTTTGATGCCGACGCTCCTTAAAATGTTGCCTTTTTTCTTAGCAGTAAATGTATCCTGGAAATATAAAAATAACAATTTAAAACTCGAGTTTAATTTATATTGTACATCGTTATTTGTTGAAATTGTGAATTAATTTTCGCACCTGTTGATTTTCTCAACTAATGGTGCGTAAAATGAATTGAACTGTGTAGATGACATTCACATCATATTTTCATCATCCAGTTTTTAAAGTTCAATCACATTTGTTGTTAATTGTTCCTCGATTTTTTAAACACTAAATAATTTTTTAAGTTACTATATATAAACGAAAATAATAATTAATTAGAAGCTTTTGATTTTAGAAATAAATAGACCATGTTTATAAGTTTAACTAGGAACACCGCGCGACTTTGTCGTGTTGCGTTTTTGTAATTAGAATTGTTATATAGTGGATTGTCATCTGTCTTTCTTGCGATCGATGTATCGAATACACGACAGCCATGCAACGAAAATACGGTTGTTATTTGCACACCTCCTATTTAAGTCGGAAATGGAACTTCCAAGATAGCTGAAAAAAGTGTTATCGTTCTTAAGTTAAAAACCGGTACGTATCAACTTAATTGATACATACTTAACTTAACCGTACATTTAAGTTTTAGTTTTTTAACGATTGTAAAGAATAATTTATAGAAATGGCACCCTAAAAAGTAGCGTAGCGAACATAACTGGCACCCGGGGCACGACACTTTATTGGCGCTCCCTGGCCCCCTCCCCCCTCCAGAAACACATATAGAGACCATTTGGGCGCCCCTCTGCGAGTGGCGCTCGATGCATGATACACCCCTTGCACCCCCCTCACTACGCCACTGCCCTAAAATCCCCTTTAATACCCAATCCATCTTCTGAGCAATTTTCCTGTCGATGTACTCGAAAGTAGAGAGCATGGACGTTGTCATGGATCACCAATTATTATACTGTATTTTTAATTTCCTCGTTTCATATTATGTAAATTGACAAAGTTTAATCAAAATCGATCGATCAAATTTTGTGAACGAATTCAATTTTGTAAGCCACTTAGAAAAGCTTCGGTAACGCTCTGCCTAAAATGTTTAGGATTTAGGATTAATAGAATAAGGCAACGAAACACGTCGGCGATGTGACGGTAACCGCACTCGTCACGTGGTCACTATGGAAATATTAAAAAAAAAAAAAAATTGTCAAAGAAGTGATGTGATGCGGCTATCTTTTTCTTTAAAGTTTAAATTTTAAATTTAATGAAGTAAGTTTAAAACACACCATTTGCCAAAATATCATATTTAAAAACATAACTTTCATTCATGCTTGACAAGGGAAATGCCACAATAGGAGTATTCACCCTGTCACCCTATTGTGGGCCTGACTAAACCTACGATAAATGTAATTTAAAAGGCTTTCTTTGTGTCCTTAGATGGCTCGCCAGTGGCGGAGTGAATAAAACCACCGAATAATGTTAGTTGGCTGGCCACGTGGCGTTTTCTTAATTTTCTCTACGCGTCTAGCACCTAAATAGGAGCCAGTTTCCCATAGAAAGTTCTCCCGGGAAGCATTCCCCCTGGGCAGATTGCCTAAGTATTGCGTTGCCGTATACAAGCAAGCAAAAACAAGAATCGTGCCCATAGGGGAAAAGAGCGGGAAAAACTTTTCATTAAAAATATTTTAAAATTTATTTCTAAAAAACACCTAAAAGTTTCTAATATATAATTTTATATTAAAATTAGATAATTAAAATTGTATTATACCTTAATTGATTATGTAACAATTAATTAATTAATTGCGTTTTTAATAATCCAATAAAAGAAAATGCTAATTATTGCGTACAGTATTTGAATAATTATTGTAACAAAATGTATAAAACCTGTTTCTAAATTCTCAATAATTTACAATTCTTCGTAATGAATTCCTACCAAGAAATAAGTAAAACAATCTTTCATTTATATTCTGTCATGATATTAAAACATGTTTTGAATTGTTAAAAGAAGAATAACTAATTAATTATAAAAACATTTTTACTATTAAATATTCTTTCAACTTAACTATTATATAACGAATTACATAATATAATAGACCTATAGAATGTCACGTAGTCTATACTAAGATCTTTTTTATAGTCCTATAGCCTACATGTATACACCAGACTGACAGTTTTAGACATACGCAAACTATGCTTTTACTAGGGCTCGTGCCTTTAAGAATTTCATACAAACATTTATGTATACTTATCAAAGGGAAGTTAGCAAGGCCATTGGTTCGACACTCACATTTATGGAGGTGTATATTTTGAAAACATTTGTAACAAATTTGTATATATATATATATTTCATATTTTATTATTTAAATATAGGCCTGCAATTTTTAATATTGTTTTGTTCTTTTTAATATATTAGAGGAAAGAATCAAAAAAGCGAGATGCCCTTATTCTTGGTCCATTACCATTCCCATAGCCAGGAATAAATCATTAGGGGCTAGAGTGGCAAGTTGAAAAAATCCAGCAACGAGATGCTTAACTTTTCCAGCAAAAAAAATTTAAATTTTGTATGGCGTCGCCTTTTTGATATTTTATTTTGAAACTTTTTATATTATTAATGGCAAAAGGCTTAATTTTGAGGGTAGAGATGAGTTTTATAAAAAAAAATTGTAAGTGCTAATAAGGAGTAAAATCATTAAGTCCGAACCCATTCGAGATATGACACAGCACCCTCTCTATTTTCCCATCCCCGTGACCTTTAACCACTAAAATTTCATATCATCAATGCCGCCTAATACACCAACCTCCCTGCAAAATTTCAGAAATTTTCGACAAAAGACACAGGAATTATTAACCTTCAAAGTGAGTGAACAACATCGTACTCCCACTCATAACTAAGATCCATACATACACAAAAATCGTCCCAATTATTTTATTTTATTTTTCATTTCTCAACGTTTCAAAGATTTTCTAGTCCAAAAATGTAAAAGTCTTGAGGGGGTCATATTTTGACCGATCACCATTTATCCCTCTGTTATTTATTTTTCACCTTATAGTTCCCTCGTAGCTACGGCTCTATCACAGTTCTGTTCTAGTATTCGGAGTCCAACGCTAGCTCGGATCTTATAAAATATCAAATACAATGCAATACGGACTTAAAATTATAAATAAAGACATAAAATTATATAATAAGGCCTCAAAAACCAACACTTGCTTAAGACCTGGACAGCCTAAAACCTCCACTGATATCAAATCCTATTGTAGAGTTAAATTTCTAAATATAATATCTTCTAAATTATTTATATAATTTTCAGGATTTTTAAAGAAAAAACAAGACATTTTATACCGATATAAAGAAAAAAATAGCAATTTAATTCGTTTTTATATCTTAATATGCCACGTACAAATTCAAATATACATAATGAAAATCAAATGGATAATGAAACGTTACTTGAAAAGAAATGGATTTGATCAAATAAATTCATCTCGAAAGCAAGAATGTGATAATGTAAGTAAATAAATGTTATTATTAATTTAATTAAAATAAGTTAAATGCATAAAACGATTCATATTATATAGATTAATAGTAATTGCAGAGTAAATATAACGATAAAGTTATTTAATGGCGTAACTTCAGACTATATTATGTTATTATGTGGCGTAATAAGGAATGCAAAAACGAATAATTCTAATAATAAAGATTTCAAAATAGTCATTACCTTCTTTTGTCATAAACTAACTAGAAAATAAGAGGAAAAAAAAACCCCAATAGAGGAAGTTTCCATTCGTTTCACTAGTTATGACGTCGTGCAATCTTGTTTACGCAATATATGAAGAAAACTTTAAAATATTTTAAACTTTAAAGTAATTTAAAATATAAATATTTGATTTATTTTAGAATAAATCATCTCGGACAAAGATTATGTCGAGAATGAACAATACAAATTCTCATATACAGACGTTAATTCTTATGCAATCTGAACGACAGCAGTTTCAAGCAGAATATTGGATGGTTTTAAATTTATGTGGACAATCGACACCTTTGAGTTTCCAAGATTTATTACCCGGAAAGTAAATGAATAAAATACTAATTTTATTGCATAAAAAATAAGTTTCTAATCCAGTTTAAAATTAAATTTCTATATTTTGTTATTTATTACGAAACAAAAAAGAAAATTACTTTCAGTTCTATTTTTGAATTTAAATATAAATTCTATTTATATATATTACTGTGAATAATTTAATACGTAAGTTCTAAATAAATTTTTAAAGAAGCAAAGATTTGATTGGATTAGTGAAAAAAGGTAACGCAACATGGGTAATCTCACAAGGGGAGTATCTCCCAGAGGACTTTCAATGGGAAACTCTCCTGTTTAGGTGTTAGACACATGAAGAAACCAGAAAATTCCATGCGGTCAGCCTATTGGCGAGGCGCCATAAGAAATGGTTAAGGATCTCATTCCCTTATACCGGATTATCAAAAAAAGTAGATATTCAGAGCTCTCTGTAGAAAGAACTATTATGCAAATCTCAAACCAAATTTGGTATGCATACTCTCCAGAGTATACGGTTTCGACTTTCCGGGAAATTTTACTTCAAATTTAAGCCGCTAGGGCAAAATTTGGCGCTCCTCGAAACGCAAAATTATTTTCCTAAGATTCCGTATAAACATTTTAAACATCAAAATTTTTATGTTCCATTGCTATTTCGTTGATAGAAAAGTTTAACAAATAATACAATCAGGCAAATTCAGCATCACGACGAAGAATTGCGAAGAACGTCTTGCAACTCCTTGTATACCCGAAATTCGTTAGGAAACGTTCGTAATATGCACATCAAGGAGACAGTAACGCCAAATTTCGCCTTAGCGTCTGAATTTTGAAGAAAAATTTTTTCCTGAAAAATCGAAAATGCATACTAAATTTAGTTAAGATTTATCCAATAATTCTTTTTACAGAAAGTTCTGAACACAGGGCTCTTATAATACAGGGCGATCGTAATTAAAAAGTGGGTTTTGTACCTTAGTTACTTGCTTTTTCTGTCTTCTATGAAATTAAAATTTATTATTAATTTTTAAGCACAAATTTACGTTTTATTTATTAGAAGTCTTGGAGAATGGAGGAAAATAGCAGGTGGAGCTTATGGAGATGTTTTCGGATTATACAATGAAAACAGACCTATTAAAGTCTTAAAAATTGTTCCTGTTAATGGAAATAATGATTACTTTGGCCAAAGACAAGAAACACTAACAAATGTACATCCGGAAATAGTGGCTTCGTTGTATGAATTTTTTAAACTTTCTGTAAATATATCAAAAATATATTGTAGATAGTGATATACTTTTCAAATTTTCAGAAATTTATGCAGTTTGTCAAAAAACGAAACAAACAGAACTTCCGGTTTTGCGCAAGTCAAAAGGTAAAGTTAAATATCTATAAACTGTGTATATATATAAGAATAAGCATCGAAAAATACCATAAATAATCCAACAGAATCAAAGTTTCATCTACGACACGTGATTTATATTTCCCCAATCATACAAGTCTAGCACTCTAGCAAACCGGAAGTTCCGCCATTATTTTCTTTTTGTTTCGATAATTCCAAATACAGTATATTTTGATTTAGAACTTTGTCGTAGTCTACTTATATTTTGATAGTTGTTAACCTATATATTCCTAATCCTTGCGATAATAATGGCGGCTCATCCGGTTCCGTTACCCAGTGCTATTTTATTTTAATTTGTAAAATTTTTAAAAGTAATTTCTAAAATTTTTACATTTTATTACATTTTTACTCGTTATATCGTGCACCAGCGCACGATTATGCCGCGCACCATTAGTTAACAATTCATTACTTTTGTGTAAATTTTTTAACCTAATTTCCATGAACGTCCATGAAATAAATATCAAATCGCTTAATATGTTAACTGACCATATTTTTTTTAATGTAGCAAATTATAATAATCATGTCAATGATGTAAATTGTGTCACTAGAAAGTCACGGCTATTGTTAGAAAGTCAAACTATGTCGCGTCAATTTTTTGTTTGCGTTAAGGTTCTTGTTCTTTAAACTCCAACGTCCAACTATGATCATTAATAAGTAAATCCACAGGAAAATAAGAATTTAACAAATATTTTTCTATTGAAATGATTAAAAATTAAATTATCGACTTTATTATATCAAATATTGAATATGTACAATGAACTTATCAAGGCAATCTTTTGTATTGTGTGAAATTAAGATGGAATGAGTCTCCAATTCCAATTCCGTTTGTTGGGTGCGAACCAGTTGTTTTTATCGATTCATAAAAACCATTGGTTCGCACCTAACAAACGAGCTGGCCGTGGACTATTCCGAGTTTTCTCCACGTGTCAACACCTAAATAGGAGTAAATTCCAATAGAAAGTCCTCCCGGGAGGCATCCCCTTGACAGATCCATCCGATCTAAATTATTGATACGATTACTCAACAAATTGTTATAAAATAGTTTATAAAACATTAAATTAACGTTATAAAATGTTGAATATTTTATGTCAATTTGAATTTAAAAAATACTTAAAATATACTGTATATAAAATAATTAAAATATAAATTTTATTTTTCATTTTCTTATTCAAATTAATATAATAAATGGAAATTATATCATTATTATTATTTGTAACTAGCTGTTACCCGCGACTTCGTCAGCGGAGGTTTTGCAAGCAAACCCCATTTACATCCAATATTTCAATAACCATAGTAATTGTTATATAACACCTACCGCTGAAGAGAATTGCCGAAAATCAAACGAACTATTTTCAATTTGATCAATTTTCTGAAACGTTTACAATCGTTCTATAATCGAACCAATACGCAATAACAAANAAAATTCAATTAGTAAATTAAGAAAAGCCTTACTTTGTTTCTGGTCCATATGTTCTTTTATACTTTTGTCTTCTTGCAATTCCCTACTGGGCATTGGAAATAGTTTTTGTTAATAAGAAATAATTGATATAAATATATTTTAAAAACTATAATAATTAATAATAGATTATAATCTATTTTACAATATACAGTGGGTGATCGGTTAATGCACATAATCCGTTCCAAGACTTTGTTTGCTATCCAAATTGTTCGTTAACCAATTATAGATTTACCATAGGATTTTATGGGAATTTAATTAATTTGTTCTGGAGACCCCAAAAATTAAAAAATATGTACTTTCTTATTACATTTGTACATATGTATTTTCATTATTACATATAAATATAGTCATGTTTTTTCCATTTGTGGGGGTTAAAGAATCTGTCTGATGTCGATTGCTTTTCTCTCTGGGATTTTTCAGAAGTAATTAATAGCATTGTTGTCATAGAGATCTCCATGCCTATTAACCTCAACCCGGTTTGTATGCCATTCTAAGACCATTGTTCTGACATCCTCCCACTTCTTCAAAAGATCTTGAGGATTAATGCCAACATCTGCTTTTAAAGATCTTTTGAAGAAGTGGGAGGATGTCAGAACAATGGTCTTAGAATGGCATACAAACCGGGTTGAGGTTAATAGGCATGGAGGCTTTTTCAGAAGAAAACATATCTTGCCGAGTTTCTTGGTGTTCTTCATTCAAGAGTTTTTGGCGTTGTTCTGTCGTCAGATCATTTCGAGTTCCATTATGAACTCTTCAATGCTCTATTTCTCAGATGTGATTTTTGTTACTCCTTTAGCTGCTTGAATCTTCTTGATTATACTGTAAACCTGTTCAAGCCATACTGCCCAGCAACATGAGACATCTTCTGCCCACTCTCTACCTTTACTATTATATTCTCATCTTTCAAAAATAAAACAGATGCAAAACTTATAAATATATAAAGCTTTATATATATATGAAGCATGTAATGCCGTTTTTTTCTAAATACATTTTATTGAAGAATTGAATTCTAAATGCAATGTTTTCTGCCACAAAAGAATATTGTGGCAATATTGGTATTGTAAGTGGCTGTATTTTGAAGATGAATTTATGTGAAAATATTATGTTTAAAGTGCCAGAGTGCAAGTCACATGACTTTTGGCACATAAAACATTGCAGTTTGTATGTACATCATTTTGATATTCCAGAGAATTTGTAACAAACCCAGTGATATTTTTAATCATTTTAGTGTATATTTTATTCGAGGAAAATTTCCGGATGAACTCCGCAAAGCTTATAAAAACTTTCACTTGGGTAGAAAAATGCCGGATTTTTATTCAGGTATATTTTTATTCAGGTATAAAAATAAATATTACCGTATTTTCAAATGCGTATAACCGCAGAAAATTGCTAGAACAAAAATAAAACCTTGCATAACCCACCTATTGCGTATGAAATAATAGCTGCTTCGTATGCACGAGTTTAGCAATTATTGTACTGGCTGACATCATCAATCTGGCAGTCAGTAATCCGGTACTAATTTCCACGAGAGCAATTTCAAATTCACGACCCGTAAGACCCGCAGGTTCGTACGGGTTGCCGCACGATACTGCCACTACTATTTGGTGGCACTATCTGTTACATAAGCTGTTTTTGATCATTTTCAAACAATGGTAAGATGTTTCTACTTATCTTTTGGCCATTTTAATTATAATCTGCCGACATGTATCCTCAATCATGATTCCAATGAGTATAGGAAGTACTGTACTTGTGATGTGAAGCGCAAACGCCATAATAGATAAGGTAGAACTGAAAAAACTTCCTTATTAACCAACATATAATGATTTTCAGCGTATTTTACAGATAGAATGAAGTGGTTAAGTGAAAAGTTTCCTTATAAACCGTTAAAGTAGTGACCATGATTTAATTCTATTGAAATAAGGGAAGATTTTAAAATGATTACCTTAACTTTCTATGTGATATATAAATCAGTTGTTCTCAACCTTTTTTGATTGAATACCCCTTAGAGGCACATTTTCCTAAGTTTTATTTCGCGTTTTCTTTAAACAGTGTTACCTTGGTCAATTATTACAAAGGCTTCAACGCAGAATCTGAATATTTTTATAGTACATCCGCCATTATTATTTTTTTTTTCGCGTACCCCTAAATTACCAAGCGTCTAAACCCGGTTGGGAATCGCTGTTAGAAATAATTTACTTTTATATTGTTATCAGTGGCGTGTTATAGCTTCAACTATTATTAAAGGAATAAAAATATCTTCAATTTTATCATTAAGTTAAAAACAAAGGCCAAAACTAATAATTAATCAAGGCCCCTATTAAACACATTAATAGTAACGATACTGTTAGAATAAGTGGGGCCCAGGCAAATTTGAATTAGGGGGTCCCCTGTACGGTGTTGACTTCAGGCATTTTTTTTCGTGGTAAGTTTTGGATGAATTCGTTCGTTTTTTTTTTTTTAATGTGACCTCTGGAGGGTTTTAATTAAGTTCTGCGCTGTCCCTGCGCTACACCGGCAATTAGGGTCCCCCTGATATGAGACCAAATTAAATTTCGATATTCTTACTACAGTAATGGTTTATAAAAGATTGGTTTGGGTTCCTTGTTGGTGGGGCCCCAGGTGATTTCCTTTTTCTCATAAGATAACGCACCACTGATTATTATATATTACGAAAATTAAGTAGTTATGTACTGTATTTACTTGGTTATAGCCTAATTCATGGAATATCTTGTAAAGTCCGCTTAAACAGCTTTAAAATTAATATATTTCTGAAATATTAAGAAAATTTTAAATTGCGATTAAAAGAAATGTAAATTTATTAATTTACATTTACTATTGTTATGTTCCCTTGTATCTTTTAATGAAAATAATAAAAGTAATGTAGGAAGATAATGAGGAAGAGCGTGAAAATAATGTATATATTTATATATAAAAATAGTTTTGATTGTAGTTTAACTGATGTTTAAAAAACATTTTAAGAGAATAGGTTCAAGATAAAGGAGCAATTAAGAAACAAGTGAAAAGTGACGTCGAAAATACGTCACACGCTTATTTTAAATTGATGAAGGAAATAACAAACATTAATTAATAACTTAATTTACAGAAAGGATTATATAATAATCATCATTTAATGTTGTGGTTTATTTAATAATTAACATCGAATAAACAGGGTCTAGTTGGTTACGTATTTTACGTCAATTTGACGTCATCTCTTTAATTTTATAATGATAAATTCAAATAAATGACGTCAAATTTATGTAAATACTAGCTGTTACTCGCGGCTTTGCCCGCGCGGATTTTGCAAGCAAACCCCATTTATATTCAGTATTTCAACAACCATAGTAATTGTTAAATAACACCTACCGCTGAGAATGATGAGAATTGCCGAGAATCAAACGAACTATTTTCAATTTGATCAATTTTCTGGAACGTTTACAATCGTTCTATAATCGAACCAATATGCAATAACAAATTCGAATTTAAAACGGTTCGAACATTTTTAAAATCGAAATAGATAAAAATATTTATAACAATGTCTGAAATGTTATTAATTTAATACACCTAAGTACTCGATGAAGACTAAATCCTCTCCCTCTCCCGCCCACGGGAGAATTTCGAAAAATCCCTTCTTAGTGTGCATTGCCATGGCATACCCTATTAAAACGCAGATAAAAACAAAAAATCGCATCTAAAATATTACAGTAGAAGGCGTTTTTCCGGTTGAGCCTTAATGCTCTCCCTCTCCCCCCGCGGAGGAATTTCGAAAAATCCCTTCTTAGTGTGCGTTTCCATGACGTACAGTACCCTAACTGTCTACCAAATTTCACCTCTTTAGGTTAAGCCGTCTGCTCTGGGCGATGATGAATCAGTGAGTGAGTGAGTCATTCAGTCAGTCAGTCAGGACAAGCAATTTTATATATTTAGATATTTAATATTTCAACTATTCAAAGTGTAGAAAAATTACAGTCGCAATTGGTTAACGCACGTGTAGAAATTTTCGTTGTAATTGTTATAACCGATTCTTTATTAGATATTAAACAGCGATTTTACGATTAGAGATCTTTACACCCAAAGATCCTAACAATAATAAATCAGAATTTTAATTAAATTCAATATTTTTAACAATTTTTTCCATAAATAAATAATTAAAATGACAAAAAATAAGGATAATTTCTTAAGTTACTTTATTCAAATTAAATGCAGTATTACTTCAAATTTAAGATGAATTTATTTATACCTTTAAAAAGGAACTTTCAAGAAATAGGATTTTTAAGGACAATGCGCTCCAACTTTTAAAATCAGATTTAAAAAGTCGTTAAAAAAACGCCTTAATAATGTATTTAGAGACAGGACTGTTGAGAAGGGAGCTGGAGATTTTTCACTACATACATACAGAATTTGATAACTGATAAAGAATACCCCGAATTTAAGAAGCATCCTTACTGTAATTAAGTTCGGGAAAATGCAGTAAAAATGTGCCTTACATTCGGAGTCATGTGATAATTTATTAATTTATTAAGGAATTTACAGTCAATGCACTTCAAGGTCTTTGTGCAGTTGCAAGTGAAGAGTTATAAAGGGAAGACTTTTATAAAAATAACTTTTGATTACATTAATATAAAATAAAATGTGTAAATGTTTTTGTCAATGTGTTATCATTTTCGAATGGAAATACAGTAGCAAAAGACGTCATCCAATCTAATCATCGACGTCATGGAAGCTATTTTAACTTGTTGCTTAACAGTTAATTAGTTGTGTCGTCACTAGACTAACTCCGACTTTCACGTCATTACTGACGAAAAATCAGTAACGACGTCATTATTTAAATTTAATTAGGCTAACTGCAAATTCATGAGTTATATTGATTTAATTTTAGCGCAAGTGTCGCATAGACAATTATATATCGTTTATGACATGGAATACGGAGGATATCCTTTATTAAAATCGCTCGTAAGTTGTTTTCGGTTATGAAGAAAATTCATATTATAAAATAAAAAAATTAAATTTGTCCGATTTTATTATTATTATTATTATTATTAAATAGCAAATAAGGCCTTGTCAAGCCGTCAGTATTTTTCGTCAAGTGGCATTTAGTTTGGCTGTTGCAGAAACAGAATTAGAATTCGAACACCGAGATTTACACCTTTGTAATATTTTAATCAAGCCAACACGTGCGAAATCTTTAACATATTTTATTTCTGGAAAGAATTTTGAAATACCGACTGTTGGCATATTGGCTACGATAATCGATTTTACATTCAGTCGATTAAAGAAAGGTAAAAAGTAGAAAACGTTAATTTCATTCATCGATATTTTTTGCTCAAGGTCCTATTAATTAAATAAAGTTAAACTGCACCAGAGTTAGTAAAAAGTAAAAAGTAAATATAGACAAATCGTCTATATCGATATCGATATCTGAAGTAATTAAATTAAAAATAAATACAGTCGAACCTCCAATAACGGCCACCTCTAAACAACGGCCATTTTTTATGTTCCCGTCAGTGCCCGTTTATCAGAGTATAAAAGTTGACTGCAGTATAAAAATAAAAATGTTAATTATTTTCTATCGATATAATTGACATTTAAAACATTTTTCTATTTTAAACTAGATTATATACAATAAATAACTTATAATTAATTATATTTTTAAAAAAATATGTTGTTACATACTATTCGCAAGACACTTTATATGTTTTTCTTCTAAAAACCTTGAACTACATGTACATAGGCTATACCTACTTAGTCTTTATTGCGAAAGTAATTCTAGAAGAGCAAATATTCCTTACAGCTATAGAAAAACAAAATAAAAATGATTTTAGAACAACCTTCGTGAAAAATCCTTCTTAAATGGAACATAAATTTTAAAATTATTGTATTTTTAATACAAAACCTTCGTCATATTTTTGTTCGTTCAATATGGTAAATAAATCATTTTTAAAGTGAAAGTAAATAGTTGCTTCTTCGGCTGTTTCAGTCTTTTTTTAGCCCTCACTATAACATACAAAATACTCCCTTCCATCAAATAATAATACATTTAAAAACACGATGCCTTAAACTGTACCTTAACTTGGCCCTAAGCTGAACCTTGCATAAATCCGTGCATTCAAATTCGTTATTTTTCTTTGTTAATGTAGTAATAATGTTATTTATAATATCATACAAAATTATATCAATGCGAGGTTTGCATATTTGTTTTTACTCTTTTCACCTTTTAATCATACCCATTGCGACTGCCCATCAGTGGCCGAATGGTTTTAACCACTCGGCTTCTGAATTTATACCAAAACGCTGTTAGTCGGTCTCGAGTTCGCATCTGACCAACAAGATTAATTAAGAAATTTTCCGGGTTTTCTTCGCGTGTCTTAACACCTAAATAGGGGCCAGTTTCATATACAAAATCCTCCCGGAAGGCACCTCTCTTGGCAGATTCCCTACATGTTTCATTGTCGTATGCTATCAAACCAAAATCCATTGTCGGTTTGGCCAGGTGCACAACTGGGTGGTGAGAGTGAGGGGAGAGCCCGAAATATCCGAGAAAGGCCAGCCACGAAAAATTCCTGGGTTTTTCGATCCCCAGAGCAATAGGCTAACGCTTTAATCGCTTCGACCATCGATTTTGGATGGCATATTTAACTGTGTTTAGTACTAAAATGAACACTGGTTCGCGGGTTCGCACCTGACCAAAAGACTGGCTTTTTCCAGGCTTTCTTCATATATCTAATACCTAAACTGGGGCCAGTCTCCCATAGAACTCTTCCCGGGAGGCATCTCTTGGAAGATCACCCATGTCTTGCGTTGCCTTATAGTTGCAGCAGGCGGGAGTGATTTAATATCACATACACACACACACACAAAATACACTGTAAATACAGTTTATTTTGGGAAGTACAGATAAGAAAACTTTATTATTTATTAAAGAAAAAAAACAAAGTAGAATAATAAAAAATGCTGAGATTTGAATTTTCCAAGAAAATGAGACCTTCGTTTTTAAGTAAATATTGCCCTACTGCTTACTCTTCCTGGCTTCATTTCGAATCGTTTAACGCAAGTAAAATATTTTTTAAATCACGAGTGTTTTTATTGTCTAGAAGCAACGTGGGCCGTAGTTTGGGAGACACCTGCCTTATACTATCAATCCAATCTTAGTAATAAAAATATAAATATCCTTGAGAAGAAATTATAGTTATTCAAATGAGGGCATTGGGGCATTAAAACTTTTAGAAATCAAAATAATCGTCGTTATAATGACATTAACCCCATTTGGATTGCGAAAATGATCTAGAAAGTAGTTTCATTCAACGTTCGTGTTATTACTTCAAGAGAAATTTCTTATATTTTCATAATCGTAAACTATTTTTTGAAATATATTATTGTATAATTATAATTTCTTCAATGATAGTTTCCCCCTCTAACAAGTAAGAATGTTACTAAATATTTAATTATATTTTAAAATTATTAAAATAATTTTAATTTTAATGGGTCCTTCTTGCGCCCATTTAAATATAATTTTAAAAATTTTATTATTTGAATAATTATAGGAGAAGTTATATTATTTAGAAATCTGAATGAATTTAAATTCAAAGGGGAAACTTTACAACACAAAATATACAGAGCTTCTAAGAAAATAATAAAGTAAGTCGATTATAAATTATATATAGGCCTATATTTCATCCTCTCATTATTTTTATTTTCGAAAAATATTATTTTATATATATATATATATTTTTTTTTTTAACTTCCATCCGTCTTGTGGGCACTAAGAAGACCCATCTGATACAATGGAAATTTTTTTTAAAAAAAAGGATAAAATAGATTCTTCTCGTATCACGATTCGGCTAATCCCATAATAGAGTAGTGGGATGGTAAGAGACAGGGCCTGATATATCAATTTCGAGTCAAACTACCAACGTAAATATCGAAGGACATGACTTACAAGCCTAAGTCCTTTGGAGCAGCAGGATGATCAGGATTGGGCGTAGATTTGTTGTGGCTCTAAACAATAACATACAGCAGGCCATTCACCAAATCCATCATGGTATTTGAATTCCTAAGCTATAAACTTAATAACTTGAGGCCCTAAGCTGCAGTGTCTTCAGCTTACGTGAAAATCCAGTCTTTAAGATAATGCCTTTTTTAGTACTAATCCTTTACGACCTACAACGATAATCTTTCTCCGTGCAGTGGCGCGTTATAGCTTCATAGGGCCCAGGCGAATTTGAATTAGGGAATCCCTTGTACAGTGTTGACTTCAGACATTTTTCTTCAGGGGAATTTTTTGGGATAAGATATTTTTTACAAAAGATGAGCAGTTGCCCTTTTTGCCCGTAGCATAACGCGTCACTGTCCCATGCCTATATGTAACGTTACCAGGGAGAGCCCAGGGACTGCTCTGACCTCATTTTTATAAGTAAATAAATTAAGTAGTTAAGCATAGAAAAACACATGCGATAAACAGACTTATACATATACTAGTATATATTATATATAATACGAGTTATTCTTCATTCTCAGAGCTAGTGACTATATCAACGTGGTACGGGGGGTGAAAGTAAGTTTACACGTTCTAATTCGGAACCTCGTAATATCCTTTCTATTTATATTATACTTCGGCCTTGACTATTATGTTTATTTATTTATTCTATAATATATTACATTTATTACTAAACTTGAAAAGTTGAGGTTTTTTAAGAAAATGTGCTTGAAATGTGACGAATTTTAGCAAAAAGACCTCCTAAAAATGTATAAAAGTCAAACCATCGTTTTATTTTACGTAAAAGTATACATAGAATACGTAAAACTCGAGATAATAAAAAAATTCGAATCAGTCAGTCACTTTCGGTATGTGATCCATCAGATTCATAATTTACAAACAGAAAAGCATTTGCAATACACCTTCCTTCTATATTCTTCGCGATCAGCGGCAAATGACACGAGAAATATATTTGATTTTTACTCAAAACTCCAGGTTTTATGACCGAACAGACTCAGGGACTATATTTTGAATATCTACATTTTTGCTCAGAGAGTATTCCAGTTTTTTTAAAGTAAATCCATCCAACTAGTTCTTGGCATATTTTAAAATTTCTCACTGCTTCTCAGTAGACAGATCTCTTTTCTCGAGCTTAGAAACCGAACTGCGCAGGAACTCGCATGAGTGAACAGTGTAGTTTTTTTTAACACGGTTTCTTGTTTCAACAGTCTCGAGTTTCATTGCGGTTACTGAAAGACTTTCCGTCCAGCTTATCAGTGAATGCTGCTCTGGATGAGAAATTTTCGGCAAAGGCTTTGATTAAATATGCTGTGAATGCTGCATATTTAATCAAAGCCTTTTTCATTTCCGAAATGCAAACGTTGATATAAGAAAATTCCTATTAAGACAATGGCAAGACAAATGACAGGTCTCAGATTCTGATTTATCAACTTTATATTTGCCCTTAGCATGTATGATGCTTGGTCTGTTGCAAGTAACCAAACATTTCTACTGAATGGCAGCATTCCACAATTGAAGGCCTGTATAACAGTTGTGGAATTTGTCTTTGTTAATTGCAAACTCTTAACAGTCAGGTTCCCGACTTTGGTATCTTTGGCATTTTTTAAACCGGTCGTGTCACACCACATCATTTACTCACTTTTGTAAACAATGGAATTGTCTTTATCATTTTACATCAGAGGAAGGTATTTAAATATAAACAAAAGTAATTTCAGATTTATAAATAGACATAGATAAATACACTAAACACCTAATTTAAGTGCAAAAAAATGAGGAAAGGGGATGCTAAGTATCGTAAACTTAATTTAAAAAAAAATCCTATGATATTATGATAATTATCCTATGATATTATGAAACAGCCCTCTGCGCTAACAACGAAAAGGAGGAAGCACTTTCCAACTTTAGTTATTACATAACTGTCGTTTATATAGGATATTTCTATACCAATATAAGGAAAATGAATTGTTCTAATAATAAACGAAATAAAATCTCGATATCATGCAAGTTAACTCTAATTTTAAAAGGAAAAAGAGGAGAAAGAACAAGGAAATTTTGAATTAATTCTTTATAATAAGATTTTTTTTTTTGGCTTTAAACAAATTTCGATTCTTATATAATTTAAATCTGAATAATTTAAATATATAGTCTAGGATTAATGTATACATCAAGTTCTCCATATCAGAACGCTGCTTGCTCCATTACATGTAGGACAAGCAGATCCACTTGACACGTCCGGCTACAAAGAGCCAAAAAATTTAGTTTTTATGTAAAACACCCGTACTTTATTAGTTTAATTCATGTTTTTTCGTTCGGAAAAAGATCAAGCCCTGCATTTGTGACTTGACTATGCCCTATCTCATCTTTCTCGAACACGCTAGTATTGCTGGACTTACTTATTTGTGGCTCTTAAGCTATAATTTATAGCAGGCCCTTCCTTAACACCAAATAATTAGTGTTGCAACGAATAGTACGGGAAATCGGGGCAACTTCGGCATGCGGGGCAAGTTTGTCAAGCGCTTTTTTTAAAAAACAAATTAAAAGGAGACTTTGGTTATAGGTTAGGCAGTTGAGTTTTATTGGTGGCTTGTTGAGTGTAGTGTTTTTATTGTTCTCCAACAAGCGTAGTTGAATTATCAAGCAAATTTTCATTTTCGTTCAATTCCATATAATATTTTTTTTCCATTTATATTGAATTGGCAGGTTTTGTTATAATTCCATGATAACGAAAGTTACTTTTCCTGTTAGAAGGATGTAACTTCAACTTATTCACGTGGCCAGATCGTGGCTTGGCATTCTGTTCTCAGGGTTGTACTTAATGTTTCGAAATCATGACTAGCGGGGTAAGATCGGCAACATAAAGCCACATTAGAAGCAAAGGATAAAAATCAAACAGATGATAAATGAAAACATGTTTGCATTTGTTATTCATGTATATATGTCTTTGAACTTGCATTTCGTTGTAATAATATTAAATGGGTGTTGGATTTGTATTTCTTTGTTTTAATAGTGAATTCCAACTTATACATTGTTAATAACATAATTTTATATACGTGCCTATCTTGCCCCATTACTGTTGCCCCTATACCAGGGGCAACTTTAATAAAAATAATTAAAATAATTACAACTTTACAAAAAGAGAGAAGTTGCCGATCTTGCCCCTATACCCGGGGCAACTTCGTCAATTTCTCTCTTCTTGTAAAGTTGTAATTATTTTAATTATTTTTATTTCCAAACTGATTTTAACCAGTTCTATAGTAAGGTAACATTCCAATAGACAATGTGCAAAGCTTTTTTTCAGTTTACAGCAGTATTTATTACACAAAATTTAAGTAAAGCTTAACATGCCGATCTTGCCCCGATCTCCCCTATATTCGGCCAGGAGCGTGGCCGAATAGCTGAATATTCGGCCAAACTATTCGGCTTGATTAACGCACGTACGAAAATTGGCGTGCAAAGCGCATTATGGCAAGGACCCTGCTTTCTATTGGCACACTGTCACTACGCTTCGTCAATCGCGTTAATTCTTGACAGTTGTAGCGGACAGACAAGAGCGTCATGGCACTACTGTATGTGATAAATGATATCAAATGTGGATAACAATGAAATGACCTACACGTGTAAATAACGGAAAAAGAAGAGAGAAGGACCGCGAAGTGAAAATGTGAAAATAAATATGAAATTGAGTTGATAACATAATCGAACAAGTCGAGGCAGCTTATTTGCGCGAAATTCGCAGCCGTCAATGTCAAACAATTGTTATCATAGATTTCGGAAAGCTAAATGCTTGTAATGAAAGAAACTTAGCGTGCACGGGCGAAAGCCTGGGGCCGTTCGAACTACCAAGATGTCTCGAATCTGTGAAATCATAACTGTGACTTATACCGACATCCTATCTGTCTCTTTTCTCCGTTATCACCAGGCTATGAGTTACGTAATTGTAAAATTGGAAATCTACGACGGAAAAGTGACGAATCGAAAGTATCGTGAGCGCGTATTTTTATGTATGCATACGTGGACTAGAGCTATAGAGGAAAAAGAAAGGGAAGAGCAAAGACGAGCGCTTAAAAAGAAGGATAGGCAGGGTCAGACCCTCAGATGTGCGACGATTCTCGAACGAATAAGTGTGTACGTCTGCTGATCTTTGTAATTATAAATTGCGAATACATGTGACTAATATTATTTTCTTTTTTATTTTGTGCATGTTATAAGTTATAAATAAATATAAACAAACAACACTAACCCCATAACATTAAATCTAAATACCAAAATGATTAATTTACTGTGTTTTTGTTATTTATTACTCCTGGTTTTAGGTATTCGGTATTCGGCCGAATAGCGAAAAATAGGCCGAATACCGAACAGTAACCGAACTACACCGAGTTACATCACTACAAATAATGATATATGTAAAAATTTTGAGGTCTAATCTGCAGTTTGCAAATTTGGTCTTGCTGAGAAACACATTTTAAAGCATATTTACCAAGTCAGAAAAATCTTTCGTTAATATAATATAATATAGATGTAGAACTAACATCATCATCATTTGTATTTAATATGACTTTGATATTTATTTACAACTAGTAATAAATGGGAAGAATACAATCCTTATACCAATATTTTATGGCTGTACTTTCTGATTTCCAATATGATAAACCATTTAAAGGAGTGCATGGATATGTTCACCAATGAAAAGAGTAAAACAGCTTTCAGACAATTAATAACTTGGAAATATTCCATATTAAAATATTCATCAGCCACTCATTTCGTTTTGGGTTCTCAAGGTAATATTTTTTAGTATATAGGCCTATTTTTTATTTTAAAATTAAATTAAACAATTTATTTTACAGATTATACAGTATCTGATAATTATGAAAATATCAAAGATCTATTGAAATCTTCTTTATCAAATTGTTCTTGTTTTTTCATACCTTAAAGTTTTTCTTATTTTTTTTATGTTCTTAAAATCAATTAGTAAAAAAAATTGAAAATAAAATTAAAAACACGATTTACCGGTATATTATCTATTGATATAAATGAAGATGTTTGTTTTTTTTTATATAGAAAATATATTTCTTCTTGACTAGTCAAGAAGAAATATATTTTCTATATAAATGTCATAATTTGTCCTGGCAATTTTTTATATTTTTATCAAGATGTTTGTTTGTTTGTTTGTTCGCTATACACTCCTAGGCATTTTGACCAATTGCTACGAAACTCGGTAGTTACAGCCTACCGCTCTGGGGGACCCGGGTTCGAATCCGAACGGGTCGAAAAATCCCCAGGAATTTTTCAGGGAATGGTCCGTTCGGATATGTCGGGCCCCGTCCCTCACCACCCGGCAGCCCCATTGTGGGCCTGCCCGAACCCATAATGGGCTTGCAAAAAGAGGCCCCCTTAGTGCCCACAGGGCGGAAAGAGTTAAAAAACAACTCGGTAATTACATTAATACTTCTAACTTAGATCATGTGGTAATCCCAACTAGGGTTTCTCATTTCCCGGTCTTTTGCTTGTCCCGGGATCCCGGGATAAAAGTGAACTGTTTCCCGGGATCCCGGGAAATCCCGGGATAGAATTAATTATTTTTAAGGTATACAAAATATCTTGAAATCAAATGATATAATTATTTTCCATTTTTTAAAGTAATTTTAAAGTTCTGTAACCTCCAAAATCATATTAATAATGCTGTGTAAGGTCTATAGGCCTATAATAAAAATTACCTTTAAATAACGTAGAAATTTTCACAAATAGAAAAAAATTAATTAAAGTTTGCTGGAAACTGCATACAACAACAAAAAAAAAAATGTTTTGAATTGAGTTAAAAATTAAAAAAATGAACTTCTAATTTAGAAGGTAATTTTCGTTTTTTAAATAAAATATAATACAAAATATTGCAAACTTTTATAAGATTTTAAAAAGCAAAGATGGTCAATACTCCGATAACTCACTCTAATTCTTATTTTAGTAATGAAAAGTCTTGCCACCGAGAATGCCCTTTCCGATTCAATTGATGTGATTGGAATAGTGTTTAATGCATTTAAGAGAAGACAGATATTATGTGTTTTTTCACCTGTAGCCTGGAAGATTTCGAGTTCGTTTTCGAGATTGTAGTACTTCTTTCGCTCTCTAGTATTCTTGATTTGTCTACCTTGGCTGCTTTAATAGCGGCATCAAGCTTAGAGCTCGATAATTCGGCAATTCATTTGGCTTTAATAATCAGGTTTATGAAGAAAAACTTCATACTTGCAGACTTTGTACTCGTTTGTATCCTTGCCCAATTTGCACAATCTGGCGTCAGGCATTTATTGAAGCTACTGGGCATGGTTAAAACTCAAGACAGCGTAAGCACAATTATTCCAGATATTACAGGTTCCGACAAGTAAAGAATTTTTATAGTCATGCCACAAATAAGCTATATATTGATTATTGACCATTTGTGACATGCTATAACGAGCAAAAATTTAAAAAAACTAATAGGTAGGTTTAAAATTAATAAATACAAATGTATTCTGGCAGTGAATGAGTTAATTATGCTTTCTATTTGCAAAACTCCTCAACCTTAACACAAAATAAGAAAAAAGTGAATTTTTAAGAAATTTGCGGGATTTCCCGGGATAAGAAAAATTTCCCGGGATATTTCCCGGGTTAAAAAAACAACCGGGATCCCGGAATCCCGTTTCAGAAACCCTAATCCCAACCCAAAATATCGATTAAATTTCTATAAATCAATTAATTTTTATTTACATTCGATTTTCTGAGTTACACGTAGCGCCAATAGATGGTGTTACGTGTAACTCAGAAAATCGAACAAGTGAACAAAAGTGAACAAAATAATTAACTAAATATAATTATTACAAAAAAGAATATAATTTTAAAAAAATATATATTATATTAGTTACTGTGAAAGACCGAAATTAGAAAATGTGGATATTCTCCGGTGAATGTCGACACATACAAAATACATCGGTGAAAGACCGAATATTTGGTTATATTATTATACATTCGAACAATCGTTCGAATGTATAATAATATAACCAAATATTGCCGGTGTACGTCTACAAGCACAGATAAGCTTGGGGGAGATCGAAACGACACCCGAGAAGTCGATGTCGACAGAGAGGCGACAGTCTATCGCCAAATGCTTCGTCGTTTCCTTCTGCTCAAATTGGTGATACCGTACGAATACAAGTCCCTGATGTCGACCGTGGCCGTACAGATGCCCGAAATGTGTTGGCGGTTATTGTTGGAATAGAAGACTCCGACTTTTATAAATTAGCAAACAAAAATGGTACCCTCAAGCAACTTTATACCCGCAATCAGTTCGTGATTTGTAAAGAAAAGTTACTTTCCATAGATGAGATTTCTTCTCAATAAATATCGCTGAGAGAAGCAGCTGCAGATAATTCGAAAAGTGGAGGGAAAGGCTATACACGCTGTCATTGCAAAAAGAAATGTTCCACGAATAAATGCAGTTGTAAAAGCAAGGGACTCTTGTGAAATTCAAAATGCTATAACAATTTAAGTTGTTGCAATAAATAAGATTGTATAACGTTAATCACTTAATATATGTGTAAGTTTACTATTGCGTATTACTTTTCTTTTCTGATTAAGAATGTACTGTTCGTTTTAGGTTCAACAGTTTATTTACATGTGCTGTTACTTAAGCTTGCTCCTATTTTGACATATTAAAAAGTTGCATTTTTGTCTTAACGTAAAAAAATATTTTTATTCAACATTCGCCATCAGTGCATGCTGAATGTCGACATTTGCCTGTGTAAGTGAGAAATAATGATATTTAGCAAATATTTCGTACATATACGAAACGACTGTGTGAATGCTGACATTCACCGGAGAATGTTGACGTTCGCCAGATATTGGTCATTCACAGTAACATATTCACTGAATTACTGCAACAATGACATAGTGCGAAATAGATGCTCCATGACGCCATTACTACGACAGGTAGCACATAGCACTTGCCTGCGTGGACTGTAGTGGAGTGTAGTGTTTTGCTCTTGTACATCATACTTTTTCTGTTAACAATAGAGTCGTGCCGGTCATTTATCTAACTCCGTTCGGAAGAAAATTTCAAACTCCATTCTCGGAAGGTCAGAGACAGGTGGGAATTTTTTAAAATTGCAGCCCAATAAGTATACTCCAGTAACCGAGTGGATAAAATCATCACAACACCGTTAGTCGGTCGTGGCTCGAGCATGCCCAATTTTTCCATAAACGCAATATTTTACGAGAACACACTTCCCGCATAGTTTATTCAATGGCCAAGTGAAGTTTTCTGGGTTTTCTTCGCGTTAGTAAATTTCCATTTAAGGCTAACTTTACATAAATGTCTTTCAGGGATGCATCTATAACCAAATAAACCAAACTAATTCTAACGAGCGATTATTTATTGTGACGTCGTCATAATATCGGGCTGCAACTTTTCATCACAATGTTCTCAATTCTTTTAGTGGTGGTCTTGTCTTTGCACATCATACTTTTCCCGTTAGCAATAAAGTTGTGTCGGTCATAGGCCTATATCTAACTCCGTTTGGAGAAAAATTTTGAATAAAAGTAACATTACTTCCGTTCTAAATCGGAAGTTCGTATACAGTTAATCTGGGCCCCTTGCCCTAAGCTTTCCCCATCTGGTTTCGACTTTCATCTATCTAACTTTTTTCTCGAGATTAAGGAAGGACAGATAGATAGGTGACGACAGTGGGACTTTATAGGTCTACAATTTTTTCACATTGCAGTCCAATAATTTTTCCATAAACGCAATATTTTACGAGAACACACTTCCCGCATAGTTTATTCAATCTGCTGCTAAAATTTTAAAAATTTATTATCACATAAAAGCAATTATTCTAGCATTTTTACAAGATTTGTTTTATTTAAACAAGTCATACGAAGTCTTTCGGACGTTAAAGTTAACAAATTCGATCACCTGCGCCACCACAACCCATTCAACATGGATTACTTTTCAAATATTAATAGTAGACCGGTATTAATGAGTAGTCGTTGACTCATTAGTACTGGTCTGCGCAGCGCTGCGAGCATCACTTAATTGTTAGTTTAAATTAACAAAACCCGATAGTCTTACAGAGCTAGTGGCTACATTCATAATGATACAGGGTTGCATATTCTAATTCGGACTCCCTAATATCAATTATAGTTACGCTACTGTTTACAATTAACTTTATTTAATTAACTGTGATATCCTTCCATGCATCAGACAATCTCGTGACTTTTCAGGAATAATTTTTTATATGATTAACCATTAATCTAATCTTGTATTTATCCACATTAATAATTACTTTGAGTGAAAAACAATATCTTTCTGTATATACAGATAACAGTCATTTAACCGAAATATATTCTAAGAAATGCTATAACTAGTTATTAAAATATATTTCAGTTTTTGTCTATTAAGTTTAATTGTTATTTATCATCCAAAAAAATGGAAACATTCCACAAATGATTTATAAAGAATAATATTATTAAGTAATATTGATTTATTTAAAACTTCAGAAATATTTATGAATTTAAAGTATTGTAGATACTACTTACGAAATAAATGTCTAAAATTAGTAAATATTATAGTTCCTCTGAAAAATTACGCAAAAAAGTTTGTAAAACTAAATAAAAGAAAACAACCTTACAAAAGATATTAATTAATACATGCAGATTTATAATTTAAAATTTGTATTTATATTCAAAATATTTTATCAATAATATATGAATAAGAAATATAAATATGAATCAGATTTCATACTATAATTTAAATGAATACAGTATAAATATAAGTTTATACATCCGTAGAAAGTTTATAATACAGTATTAAGTAAACTCTCAGATCATTTGTGCATTCTAAGATAGAAAATTGTTCAAATTTGGACTATTATTCGAAACTTGGTGGGCCAAGTTTGGAATAACAGGTTAAAGCAAATATATTAATATAGCTTAGTCATTTCTTGGAAAAAATTGGAATTGGTCAAAATATT